CATGAGCCGCCCGCTTTGGTGTAGTGGTAAGTTGTGCGCGCTTTCACTCATCAGCACCTTGGTTCAAGCCCTGGTCAAAGCAACATCGCAAAAAATATGCAAAAAGGATTTTTTTTTTAACAGCGGTCGTCCCTCGGCAGGCAATGGCAAACCTCCGAGTGTATTTCTGCCATGAAAAACAGCTTCTCATAAAAATACAATCGCCGTTCGGAGTCGGCGTAAAACTGTAGGTCCCTCCGCTTTGTGTGACAACATCAAGGCGCACGCCACAAGTCGGAGGAGAAGCTCGGTCAAACACTAGCATATGTGTAAGCGCCAATCCATTATTATTAAAGACATGAGCCACCTAACAATAGTACGAGTTTTTATTTTTGAATTGTGTCGTTATTGTAGAGGACCATCGATATATTTATGACAGGAAAAGATACATATGTATGCATACTTTTGCAAAAAAACTGAAATTCAGTCGGAAACTGCCGTTTACGAACAGCTGTTCCTTATCTATATATAGTATATAAATGGTATGAAAAATGTATAGTAATTCATCAATTGAGAACGGCTGGGCCGATTTGGCTCAATTTTTTTTGGCTGTTCGTAATTGCCAGGAAAACGTTTTTACGAAGAAAATTTTGGGAAAGCCCTCCGGAAAAGTCGGAAAATTGGGAAAAACGAAGATTGACTTTTGGTATGGAATTTTGTGTGCATTTGTTTCGGGATGGCTTTTCGAATGGCAAAATAGAAAATTCTTAATGGAAAACTCGGAAAATTCCGGAAGAACGCGAAAAATTTTAATTTTTTTTTCGACAAAATTTAGCATTTTGTCGCATGATTTGATGATTTTGGATGATGAGAAGGTGGAGAATTCGTTGTGATGCTTGGAAAATTTCAGATTGTGAAATTCATTGTGAGCATGAATCAATTGGGAACAATTTTCTCCTGCACAAAGTTTTAATTTTTCCGATAGGTGGTGCACGGGTTATGGTCGGATTTGGAAAATACATTCGGTGCATACACATAAATAAACCTGCCAGAAATAGACCCGTTAGGTGCGTCAAAAGTCGAGTTATGGCAAATTCAGTTCCATGCAAAATGTTTTCTTATATATCTACATATACTAATTATATGAAGTCCCTTTTTTGTAACAGGTAATCTCGCGAACGGCAGGTCCGGCTTTCATGAAATTTTGTTTATAAATGTCAAAGGGAAAAAAATTTACTTTTTTCCGGAAGGTGGACCAGGGAACAATATATTCGAAAAAATCTTATTTATGGTCCGATTTGCTTAAAATTTGGTACGTAGGTAGCCAACACATTTCAAGTTCGTGTGACTTATGGTTCCAAAGTTATAGCTGATAAAAAATTCCAGGCCAATGGGATGTGCCACGTTCCCCCTTAACAAACTATTTTATATATACCCTCCTACAAGCACCTACCATTGATATGTCTGCATACCAAACTTCAAGTTCGAGTGATTAGTGGTTCCGAAGTTATAGCTGATAAAAAATTCCACGCCTATGGGATATGCAACGCCCCCTTTTACAAACTCGTGTATACATACCCTCCTAAAAGCACCTACCATCGAAATGTCTGCATACCAAATTTCAAGTTCGTGTGACTTATAGTTCCAAAGTTATAGCAGATAAAGAAATCCACGCCTATGGGATGTACCACGCCCCCATTTACAAACACGTTTATATATACATTCGTATAAGCACCTACCACTGATATGTCTGTATACCAAATTTCAAGTTCGTGTGACTTATGGTTCCGAAGTTATAGCTGAAAAAAAATTCCACGCCTATGGGATGTGCCACGCCCCCCTTTACAAACTCGTTTATACATACCCTCCTAAAAGCACCTACCATTGAAATGTCTGCATACCAAATTTCGAGTTCGTACGACTTATAGTTCGGAAGTTATAGCAGATAAAGAAATCCACGCCTATGGGATGTGCCACGCCCCCTTTTACAAACTCGTTTATACATACCCTCCTAAAAGCACCTACCATCGAAATGTCTGCATACAAAATTTCAAGTTCGTGTGACTTATGGTTCCGAAGTTAAAGCTGATAAAAAATTCCACG